CCCGGGTCTCCAGGAGGCTCTGTGGAGCAGCGTCCACATGGACTGAGGGGAGGGGACACATGACAGTCCACATCCAGCACAGCAGGGAGAGGGCAGCCTTCTGTTATCCTGGGGCACCCTGACTTCTGGGTCTGTTTTGACTTTTTGTCCTTCCTCGGGGGCCATGGCTGGTTACTGTCTGTGGGGGTCCTGACTCCTATAGGTGGCATCTTGGCCCGCGTGTGTGTGGAGGTTCTTCTGCTTTGTGAGGATCCTGACTCCTCTTAAGGGATGGGAGACCTCCCATTCTTGTACATAGCCCATGTGTGGGTGTCATTTTTTGTAGTGCTGGGGATGGAATGCAGGGCCTCACATATGCTCAGCAAGCACTGTAGCACTGAGCTACGGCCCAGCCCTACGGGCAATTCCTAACCTCCGTGTGTTATTTCAGGTCCCGTGTGAGTCCCGATGCCCATGTCTATGGGAGTTCTCGTCCCGTGACGGGTCCCTGCCTCTGTCTGTGGGGAACCCTGAACCTGTATGGTCATCACTCTCAAGGGTCCATGGGTCTGCAGGGGCTGAGTCACAGCCTTGAAAGATGAAGGGCCCAAGAGTGGAGTCCACTGGGCCAGAGATCGATGCTGATCAGGCACTCAGGGAACCAGGTCTGAGGTCTCTGAGGAGGGGTCAGAAGGCAGCCTGGGGCTATACAGAGGACCCCACACACCCAGAGAATAGCCTGGCCTTAGGAAACGACTCCCTGCTCTCTCCACACACCTGGACAGGCCACGGCCTCCACATCTCCGCTCCCTGCCCCCAGCACCACCTAGCCACCAAGTCTGAGGGCTGGCTGCCCCAGAGAGAGCAGGTAGATCCCTCTGGCCCAGGATCGAAGCCCCACACTGGAGGCCTCCACCACATGCACGCACTGACAAGCGCACAGACCGAGCAGATACGGAGGGACGGTCACACCCGTGCTGCCTGGCCCTCACGATAGTCACCTGGGCACAAGAACAGAGGAGTCTGCAGAGACCACCAAAGTGCAGTGTGCAGTCTGCCTACTGGCCACGCTTGCACCACTCTGGTGGCTCCTGAACACAGGCCAATCCCACACAGCCTCATGTGACACTGGGTCCTGGGAGTCACAGCACCAGGTGCCTGCAGACAGTGGGCGGGGGACTGAGCCGAGAGACCGGCCCTCTCTAAGCCCCATCCCAGCCAGTATCCCGGATGCTGGGAGCATGGCTTAGGCCAGGGGAGGCCAGTGTAGAGCCTGCTCACCTGTCACCCCAAGCACAGCATCTCTTCCTCCCAGGCTCCCATGTCCCACTAGCGGCAGGACCAAAGAGGAGTCAGAAATTGGAGAGTAGGGGAGTTGGGTCGATGATTGGAGAACAGAAAAGCAGAGTCCTGTTGCACTGCTAAGAGGAGTGCTCAGCCCAGGGGTCTCAACTAGGAAGTGGCTCAAGGTCTTGGAGCGATGCGGTAGGATGGGATAGAGGTGTGACTAAACCCTCTACTCCCTTGGACCAGGTCACCGCTACAGGCTTGGAGGTGGCAGCGCCCAGGCGGGGCCACCGGGAGGGAGGGCTCCAAACTCACCAGGCTCCACCCTTATCCATCGGAGTGGTGGCTGCAGGCAGCAGGATCTCTGGCAGAAATCCTGAGGGCAGCGGGTGTGTCCCAGGACTTATTATTCTCATTTACAGTACAGAAAATCACGTCTGGGGACCAGAAATGGCATGCTGAATCCACCAATTAGCAAGGGTGTTAATTTTGAGGGTGAAAACACTTTGGACCTCAGTGCCACTGACTTGTGGGGCAGGGTTAGGATTGAAGGGTGTGGGAGGACATCTTTCGCCCCGCTGCAGGTGTGGGATTCCCCTTCCTGCCCCCAGAACACAGCCTCTTCTACTGACACTGCTCTTTCCACAGCCTACCCGACCAAAGTTCCGGGAAGCTTGCTGCTCTTCCCCTCTGCCGGGCCCAGTTCTGGTGGGGATTCAGGATAATGCAGTAGCTTCTAGGAAGCGTGCTTATTCCTCCTTTTCAGCGCTGCAGGAGAGATGCCGGTAGAGCTCAGCACCACACCGGGCGCACAGGAGTTATGCTGGCAGGATACCGCACTGTGCCTCCTGCCATCGCCCCAGGCTTCCCAGGTTGGGGGAGCTGCCCACGGTGCTGCTAACGGAGACTCAGGCACCCAGACGACCTCTGGGGCGTTGTCACCAGAGTGCCGAGTCCCTGCATAACAAATTGGGAATTTACTGCAGACAACTGTAGAACAGACGAGGCAATGGTGCTTAGTCCTAGAGCTGACCCCTGGTTCCCACCGATGGTTCCACTCGAATCACCCTTCCACATCTTGCTGCTTTCAGGAAACCGATTCAGCCATCACTACCCCGCCCTGTGACCCCCACGCACGCACGCAGCCTGGAACACTGCAGGATCCCACTCCTCCACCGCTGGGAGTCAAGTTGCCTCCTTGTCAAGCCCCAGCGGGGTGCCCAGCCCAAGCCCACCAGCCTGACCCAGTACTTAGGTCCTCAGGATACACTTGAAAAGGGACGCCGATTGCCAGACCATTTCAAACAGTCCCCCAGAGAGGGCCTGAGCCCCCTTCACATCCAACACACGTTCAGGAGGTAGAAGCAGCTCAGCCCTGAGTGTATGTAGTGAGTCCTCTGAGACCCGGGCATTCCCTAGCTGGACTTTAGGACAGGTCTCAAGAGGCCTGAGGAGCCAGGGCTGCTTTAGAAAATCAGGTGGACCGGATGGGTTTGCTTATACCTGGCTACCTGTATGGTCGGGGGAGCGGGCCCAAGTTCCAGACCCTCCTCTGTGCCCACCCCGGCTCTCCATGACTAGGCCAGCCAGCTTCGTCACATGGGATGCAGAGCAGCTCTGCTGTCTGTGTGGCCCCCATACAAGTCACCAGTACTCTCCAAGGCGGTAGCCAGAGTCCGAGGCAGCGAGGTTTGGGTGCCTGAGGGATGCCAGCCCCTCACTGCACAGCTCAGCTCCTCTGGTCCTCTGCCAAGGAGCACTGCGGCCTGGGAACCACCTGGAAGGGCTGCCCTGCAGGAAGGCAGGTGCCCCTGCCATTCCCACCTGAGCCTGTGGCAGCTGTAAGGGTTGGGAACAGCAAGAACTGACCGCGCCTCTTCTAGAACACAAGTTTATTTGGCATTTGGATGAAATGGTTCTCACAGCATCTTAAAAGGATTAGTGTCAACTGGACAAAAAAATACACCCAAACTGAAACTCTCAGTGAAAGGAAAAGTAAAAACAGGCTTTGAGACAATGTACAGTATCAAATTCCACCAGGCAGGTCAGAGGACACCTGGTTTCCGAACAGTATCAAAGCAGGCCCGGGGGAGGGGGTCCCGCCCAGGAGCTTGGAGTGATCCTTTGGGTCCTATCTGTGGGACGAGCGGGGGTACGTCTCTCACAGGAACATGGCTCAGCAAAGGCCAGCCTTGAGATTCTTCATCGGACCTCAGAGCACAATCAGCTCTCACGGAGGCGGCAGAGAACGGTGAGAACAGATGGGCAGACCCCAGCTCTCCTTGCTCCCTCACAGTTGCCTCCAGCAGAGCGCAGCTCCTGGAGCCAGTGGTCTGAGCAGCCCTGCACCCAGGGCTTCCATCCGCCTCAGGATGGCAGTGGGATAAGCATCCAGGGCCAGGCCTGGGTCTTCCGATGTCTCCCCTACAGAAAAGAGCCACCAGCAACCCTGGGAGAGCACCCTTGCCAGTGCTGCAGACGCACACCTCTGCAGTCCCCACAGTCCACTCTGGGTCACTCGTCCTCACGGCCTCCCCTACCTGCCTGCCTGGCCCCAAAAGTCCCTCGGTCCCCAGAAAAAGCTTCTCAGCCCCACGCACGGTGCCAGCTACCCTGCCCTGTACACTTCCCAGGCCTGGGAGGGCCCCTCTCAGTTACTGGAGGTAGGTCCCTGTGGGGCTTTGCTGGAGTGGTCCTCAGGGGTCCCCCAGAACCGGCACACAGAGGCCTGCTTTGTCCTCCGGTGGGCACGAGGCCCTCCTGCCCTTCTATATGCCCTCTCGTGCCCACAATGCCATTCTAAGCACAGACTGCGGCATCTGGTTCCTGTGGGCCGAGCCCAGGAACAAACAGGCTGTTCAACGACACACACATACCTCCGGTCAACTCTGGTTCATGCATAGCTCGTGTCTGTGCAACTTGAGATCCACCTTTTACGAAGTGCCTACAATTGCGCTGAACGCCACAAAACCAGGTGTTATCAATCATTCCTCCCCACCGATGTTCCTTAGTGGGATAAGGCCCTCACATCCAAGGACCACGGGTTAAGAGCAGGGACTCGGGCACAGCTCCAACTCAGGACAGCCCGAGATGAGATGTCGGACCTGGGGCAGCAGGGCCCACTCCACTCCGAGTTCCCACGAACCATCACCTGCAAACAATTGGCCATACACAGACACAGACGCACACACACACACACAGACACACACAGAAAAGATCCAGACATTCAACGTAGAAAAGATATGGATGTGCTAAAAATCGCACAGAACCCGCTTAATCTCCAAACCTCAGAAATGGTGAGGGCCTGTGTCAGGAGACAAGACCACTGCCCTGATCAGGCCTCTGGGACCCTCAAGCACCCAGCGCTGCTGAGGGAGGGAGATGTGCATGCAGCCACCAAGTACTGGGCTTTAGTGGTGGCAGTGGTGCAAGAAGTGGACTTTTCAGGAGATGGACACAGCCTGGATGTTAGGGTCCCTGAAGGAAACAACCATTTATGGCACAAAGGCAGGGAGGAGGCAGACCGGACCCAGAGGTGGAGAAAGGTACCAGTTTAGTCCCACAGCCTCATACGAGTCCAGAGCCTACTTCTGGGGGAGCCATGCACAACAATGCTGGGGAGCGATGGGAGGGCTGGGCTCTGTCAAAGCTAAGAGTTCAACCTCCTCCTCGGGGCTTCGGTCTTCAATGTTTACAGCTGGACATGGAGGGGCTACTCCCAGAACAGCCAATGCAGCAGCCTCCAAGACTGTCTCCCTGCAAACAGACCACTCCCTCAACGGTACTGACGTTCAGATGGCCCCATCGCTACACCCAGAGCCTCTGTTCCCTCCTCCCGAAACGTGTGCTGTGGTGCGGACACACACCATCACTCTGCCGTTTAAAGAGACAGTGACCCAGAGCTATGCATATCCGTGAAGCCCTCGAGGAAACTTGGTGCGGGCGGTCGCCCCTTGGAGAGAGGCAGCTGTGGTCTCTCTATACACGCACACCGGCTGGGGGCATGCGGCAATGGAGCAGGGTCCGGGATGCACCAGGGCCCCTTCAAGTGTCCCATGGGGACTGGTGTCTTCTGGACAGCAAGAGGTACTCCCAGCCCATCGGAGCCACGAGCTGGGCCGTCTATACCACAGTATTCAGGGAGCTGCGGCTGGGGCGCACACCTCCTGGCGGTGCCTCTGCAGCTGGGGTGCTCCTGCTCTGGGTAGGGTCAGGGGGCACGAGCAGGGCACGGCTGCTGTCTGAAGAGTCTTCCAGGTCTGCCAGGGAGGCCCCCGCAGGGGGCAGAGGCTGTTCCAGGCACTGAGGCAATGCACCTTCACTGCTACCATCCCCTGGGGTTGGTGGGGTAGCCTCTGCGGGATCAAAGGCATCGTCATCTGCAGGAGAAAGGGGTGTCAGAGATAAGCGAGGGCCAGGCAGACCGGGGACACTTCTGCCTGAACACTCCTGCCACTGCTGTGTGGTGAGCACACCCCTGGACCTGATTCTGGAGGAGAGCCCTCCCCACGTGGGCCTTGCTATGCACACTACTTCCTGTGGCCTGCTGCTCTCCAGGCTGGTATGTGCAGGATGAGGGCACAGTCTGAATGCAGCAGACAAGGGTCTGTTCAGCCACTACGTACACGGTGACAAGGTGACATGCAATGACAGAGTCAACAGAACAAAGGGAGGTCAAAGGGAAACCACTTGAGACTCAGCAAGAAGATGGCAGCATCCGATACCAGGGAGTTCCTGGGCCCTGATAGATGGAGGAACACTCAGGGCTGCAGAGGAAACACGGCAGGCAGAGCACAGGAGACTGGGTCGCAGCAGCATGCAGCAGGGGTGTGTGAAGAACGCTCTGAGAAGCCTAGAAGACTCAGTTCCTTCCTTTGTCCAGGGAGCTTCTCACTACTCGGGGCAGCTTCTGAAAGGTGGCAAGAGCCCCCAGCAACATGGCCAAGTTGTCACCACCTCCCTGCCCTGCTGCCTGGGCCACCAACAGCCCTTGCAGAAAGCTTGTCCTGCTTTGGTGCCTCTGTGACAGCTCACATCAACTGCACTGCACCCTAAAATATTTGGCAGTGCCAAGCTCAGGATGCCCAGTCCGCTCAACATGAGCCCGTAAAGCGCTGGCTGCCTTGGGGTGGGCACTGCCCACAGGGCTACTGCAAGGGTATGACAGAGGGCGTAAGGCACAGGAAAACAGGATGGGACACCTGGTGTGCACACCAGGGACAGGGACTTGCAGTAGTTGGGGAGACCTGATGCTCTTCTTAGTTGCAGTCCTGGGAGGAGCAACTTCCAGGGTCAGATGGGTTGGGACTCCAGCAACTGGGTCCACAACACGAGACCCAGTGCTTTCTCCTACCCCCGCAGCTGCTTCCTGTTATGTCATGACAGCATTTCTCAGTCCACATGTATCTTTTTTTTTCCCCCTGGTACTGGGGATCCAACTCGGGACCTTGCACTGGCGAAGCAGGCGGAGAACCACTGAGCTAAATCCCCGGCCCTGTGCACAGGTCTCTATAGCCAAATGACTGGCTCCCGGGTCTGGGTTGTGGTGTCCCCAAACCACCAATGCCTAGTTTCCCATCCCTTCAAAGCCAGACTGACAGGGCCCCAAGAGCTGCTCAGGAGGGAGGGAGAGAGGGATATAGGAGGAAGAGGATTTCAGACCTCCCCAGGGATCTTGGTGCAGACTTGGACAGAAGAAGCAATCAGAACAGGTGACCAAGCCCCTTCTATAAGGGCAACTCTGGAAAGAACCAAAATCAAAAGCCAAAGAGAAGGCCAGAAAGAAGTAGGGGCCCCAGGCCTCCCAGCCTGAGGAAGACCTGTATTCTGATTTCATGTTCCCTTTCCCTGGGGTAGGCAGGCACCTGCAGGATCGTAGAACACACTGTCCGGGTTGATGGAGGCCTCATAGGGTGGTGGAGGGTCATCGGGCTGGTCGATATCTGGATACTTGTAAGCTGTGTAGGGAGGCGGAGGGTCGTGGAAGTGGAAAGTCCCACCTTCCCCATCATCAGAAAGATGCAGGGGGGTGAGGCCTGTGCCGAACCTGTCTGGGCCGTAGTCAAAGCCAGGGATCCTCCGGCCAAGGTTGAAGTGGTGCACTGGGCCATCGAAAGTGAGAAACATAAGCAGAGCCATGTCACTTGGAGGCAGGCAGCCTGGCTCTTAACCCCTGCTCCTCAAGTGCCACACACCTACAGCAGGCTGCCCACTGCTGGCCATGTGCAGGGTATCACACGAGAATGCTAAGCCTGAATCTCTCACCCCCAGCTCCCTCTACCAGTGAACCCATCTGAACTACAGGCAACTTGTCCTGCCACTTGTCCTGCCACAATCTCCAGCTCTAATGTGGTTCTGTGTGTCTAACCCACAAGGGCCTTCAGGTTCTGCCCACTCCGGAACTCTGAGCATTAAGGACAGTCAGGGGGACGCTTCCATTCATGGACAGAAAACCAACGCCCTAGCCACGCCAGGCCTTCAAACCCAACCTGGTTACCCTAGAGCACCAGGGCCCCTTATATCAACTGGAAAGATCCCCTCCCACTGCTACCACCTGCCCCATACCTCCCCACACTGGGCCAGGCCTTCTAGCTGAGCTTGGTGCACTATTGAGGAACTCAGGCTAAGGAGGGTAAGACAACTAAACTAAGGGCCACGGTATCTGGGGCTCCTAGTCCGGCAGGCCCACACTCACAGCTCAGGTCATCAAAAAGATGATACACTCCCTGAATGAACAGTGCTGCCTGAGGGTGGAAGGCCTAACGTCAGACCCTGGACAGCTCCTTCTCTTCCCCAGGCAAGTGCACAGCTGGGGAGCAGGTATGTGGCTGGAGGGGCTGCCACTGACCCCCCACATTCCGTAGAGCACCCGACACTCCCATCCCGAATTCTCACCATAGAAACTGTTGGCCCCTCACCTTCCATTAGACTTTACCTTGGAGGGACACAACCAAGGATGTGGGATCTAGAGATGTGGGAGGGGGTGGGCACTTACAGTTTGCTCCAATCAGGGACTCGATGCGCTCCCGGCGCCTCTGGCGCAGCCGGTGGACCATGAAAAGCAGCAGTGAGAGGATGAGGAAGGAGGAGATACAGCTGACCACCAAGCGCATGCCACTGGCCATAGAGTCGAACAGGTTGTTGCCATCTGTGAGGTGGGGAGGAAGGAAACCCAGCACTCAAAGGAGCTTGTGAGGCAGGGGTGCAACTCAGTGGTGGCACCTGCCAAGCCCGGGTCCATCCCCAGTCAGAGAGGTGTTACACTAGAGGATACCACTGTACTTCATCTTGGGACAGAAGGCAAAAGAAAACCACTCAAAATCAAGAATAGTGTGACAACACTGGAGGCAGCAAAGGGCGCTTCCACATGACAGTCTATTGTGAGGTGCCCTCTCCACCTCTGGGACAGTGACAGCCTCAAGCTGGCTCATGCTCACTGGGTAACAAGCACTTTTCTTTGAGGAGCTCCAGTCCTTGACGGCTGCTGTGCGCCATCACTGTCCAAGAAGTGGAAACTTCTGAGGACTGGCACTCTAGGAGGCTTGGCACGCGCAGCTCTGTGTGCCCAGGTGTAAGGCTGCGCACAAAGTCACTGACTCTGGCCTCTGATCAATAGGACACAATGTCGCCAACCTTGCCTACCTGAGCTTATACATGTGTAAGAGTCAGGGAGGACCTAAAGCATTTTCAACGATACCCAGTAACCCCGAAAACACAAGAGATCCAGGGAGACAGGCAAAGGGCAAAAGGTGACCCATGAGATGGTGAGGTCAGGGTTAGGGAAGTCTTTCCAGCTTTTCTGTCCAAGGCCTGCAGCTTTTTGAAGGAAGGAGTTGGGTTACCCCTTGAGAACGCTCCAGGGTGAGGCCAGGCAGCTGCCCTGACTCACACCTGCAGCTGCCACACAAGGGCCACCAATAACTGCAGGGGACAAGGCACAGAAAGGATGGTCACTCTGGGGATGGTACAGCCAAGGTGGCCCCAGCTCCACCAGTGAGCGCTGGGAAAAGGGGCCATGAAACCACCTCCAGATGGGTGGGAAGCCAAGAAACAACAGATCCAAGATGTAGCATTTTCCCCAGGTCTTCCAAGGCCCCCTCTGCCTCCATCCTTCTTGGTGGTCATCACTTGGACAAGGGGTGTCAACTCGCATTCAGTAAGTATGGGCCAGGGATGCCACTCAGCAGCAGTGCAATACACCCAGGACAGTGACTTTCACACATCTGTCAGTGTGTCCACAGTGCCACTAGAGTGGACAGTCCTGCCCTGGTACACTATGGGGTCTGACAGGTGCTCACTATGCGCTGGTGATAACGGAGAGAGAGGATACCTGGGTGACGGGTAGCACCAAGTGAGAGGACTTGTACCGGTCAACTGCCTACACTGTGACTGGCATTTCCATGTGTGCTCAATTTAGATGACACTGCTAACTCACATGAGGTCACAGAACAGGACTATACGCCTCTACAGGCCAAGGAGAGAGGATGAACCCACTGAAGGACCCATGTAGGCAGGGACTCTGCTGGCTCGGGGGAAGAGCATTTGACTGCAGAAAGATTAGGCCTGGCCACTCCCACCTCTGCAACAGCCCCAGCAGGCAGGTCCCCAGCGGCAAGCCCCTAAAAGAAAATTCATAACCCAAACGTGAGTGGGTGAGCTCCTTGATCCTTCAAACCATTCTTGCTGGTCCAGCTTGCTCCATATTAATACAGAAGGCCAGCACTTGCTCTTGCCCTCTTTCCACGGGTTTAAAAAGCATCTCCAAAAGCTCTATGTTGCTGACACCTCTGCTATGGACATGTGAAAAAGACATATCCTCTCCCCAATTAGCTGTTTTTCTGGATGCATTTTTTCTTTTGAGACAGAGTCTTACTATGTAGTTGAGACTGACCTGGTACTATGTAGCCCAGGGTGGTCTCGAACTCAATGTGATCCTCCTGCCTCAGACTCCTGAGTGCTGGGATTACAGGCGTGTGCCATCACTCCCGGCTCTGGATGCTTTTCTGATACCCATTCAAAAATATTTCATCCCTGTCTGTGGGAGGAAATCCACCAGCCCAAAGGGCTGGTGACACCATCTACTAACTGGCAGCCAGCTCAGAATTCCCAGGGGGTAACCTACAGAAGCAGCCCCTTTGAAATGACTAAATCCTGATTAGTTCCAAAATAAACCCAAGGACCCGGTCAAGGTCCCAGACCTGACCTCCATGGTGCACACCAGGAAGCAGCATCTCCTAGAACCAAGCCACCTACAGTCAGGTAGAGAGCTTGTCCCAGGAGCCAAAACCAAATCCCAGGGGACCCTGGGTTGCAGGGAACCCATGACAAGGCTATTTCTTTCATGAACTCTGGACAGGACAGATGGCACCATCTTCTGTTTCCCACCTACCCCTGGGAACCCAGACAGAAGAAACATCCTGCTGGGGTACATGCTGTACCCCAGGTAGCCACCCAAACAATGCAAAAAGAACTCCAACGATGAGGAGCTCGTGATTTCACTCAGCTTGGTTACATGGTAGTTTACAGGCTGAGAGAGCACATAGGGAAGATCAGCGACGGGGTCAGGGATGTAGCTCAGTGGCACAGGGCCTGCCTGACAAGTGCAAGGTCCTGAGCTCGATCCCCAATACCCCCCCCAAATCAGCAGGGATCAGAGGCCAGAGCAGGCTTCATTATACCTTCAGCTGCAGCAGTGGGCATGGCAGCATAGCCCGGGGCCTTGGGACATCGCACTGCCTCAAAGCACCAGTGTGGGAGGGGTGGTGTAAGAGCCCCAAGTGCTCCATGCCTGGGCCAGTGCCCGGTGCTACCGGTTTTATCATTTTAGTCTTTTTGCTGGGCGTGGTACCTCATGTAGATTTGTTTCTCTAATGACCATTATTAAGCACCTTTTTAGGTGCTTCACTGTTACTATATAACTTGATAATGTATAATTCAAATATTTTTTCTGTAAAACAAAAATCTTTCAATACAGTTGTTTTCTTATCAAGTTTTTAGAGTCCTTACAGGTTCTAAATAAAAGCACTTCCCATTATTTGTTTGTTTTGTTTTGTTTTCTCAGTAAGTGGCTTATTGTCATTTCCCTATCAATTTTTTTAGGGGACAGAAGCTTTATTTATTTTTTGACACAAGGGATCAAACTTGGGTCCTTGCACTTATGAGGCAGGTGGCAGAACCTCTGAGCTAAATCCCCAGCCCCTCGAGTTAATCTTATGTATAGATATATGGTAAAGTTGGGGGGGGGGCTTTGTTTGTTTTGGCACACAAATATCCAACTGTTGTGGCACAATTTATTAAAAGACTATCTTGTTTTACAGTGAATTGCCTGTACATGTTGGTGGATAATTTCCTGATCATATGGTGTGGGACTTTTTCTGGACTAGCTAGTTCAATCAAACCATCTGTCTATTCAGTACCACACTGTTGTTTTTTTGGCACTGCGGATCAAACTCAGAACCTCGTGCTTGTGAGGCAGGTGGGGTGCCACTGAGCTAAATCCCTGGCCCAGTACCATATTGTTTTGATGGCTATAAGTTGTGAATCAGGTGTTGTGAACACTTTAACTTTGTAAAAACTATTTTAGCTATTTTAATCTTTTCCTTTTCTACATAAATAAAAAAAAAGTTTGTTTTTTTTTGGTACCGGGAATCAAACCTGGATGCTTGGGCTTGTGAGGCAGGCAGTGGAACCACTGAGCTAAATCCCCGGCCCCTTTCCACATAATTTCTGGAATCAACAGAAGTCTGCTGGAATATTGGTTGGGATTGCATTGCATCTACAGATAATTGGCAGAGAATTAACCTACTAATGATTAAGTAGGGAGACTTCTGATACTAAGTGTGCTACCCATGAGCGAGCATGGGCACAGCTTTCCTTCTAATTAAGTCTTTGATTTCTTTTCTCAGTGTTTTGTATTTGCAGCATACGGAATGCAGATTTTTATAATTTACAACTAAGTATGTCATATTTTTGGTGTTATTAGAAATGATAGTTTTTGCCCGGTGTGGTGGTGCACACCTACAGTCCAAGCACTTCGAGGCTGAGCCAAGAGGATCATTATGAGTTTGAAGCCAGCCTGGGCTACATAGTGAGTTCAAGGCCAGCTTGAACTACACAATGAGATCCTGTCTCAAAAATTAAAAAATCAAAACAAAACCAAAAACGGTAGCTTTCTTTAAAATTTCTTTTTTTTTTTTTTTTTTTTTTTTT